TAAAAAGCAGAAAGCAAGAGAAACAGGCGGGAAGTTCTATAATGCATAACGGACTCGCGAGTTCTCCCGTGGGTTTCGCATAATACAGCCGGCATTTCACGAACACGCTCAGCCAATTTGTCGCGCCGTCAACTCGTGACTACGAATATATCGGAAGAGTAAGAGAGAGACGTTTCTCTTTCTTTCGTTTTCCACCTTCTGCCACCCTTGGCTCGTTCCTCCTACTTTGTCTCGTTTTCTTGCCCCTCTTTTCCATTTCCGGTGAGCTCATTGAAGTTTCTTATTCGGGGCTATTATCTGCTTCTTGGCAGCCTTGGTAACGAAGCGCTTACTACGGGCATTGCCTAAAATATCAGGCTCGCATAATACAGCGACGGAAAAAACGATATCGTCAATTAGGTGATGATGCATAAACAGAATAGAACGATGCTGCGAATAAAAAATGAATTTCGCTAATAGCTAGCGGCGGACACGAGTGTCTCGGCGTCGTTTGGAACACGTGCGAAGATAGTTTATTCGCGGAGAACTGAAGCTCGCCTGACCTAGCATTCCAATGGTGGAGTCAACGCGAGTATTCGAAGTTGTCAAGCGCGCCGGTGTCCGCTGAATAATTGACGACGCGTTAAATAATCGAGGAAACCTTTTAGCGGATAAGTGCGGCCTTAAATTCGGCTCACTTTTCCCGTAACGCGAAAAAGCACATGAAAAGGTGAAATAAAGAACGCGCGGTCGGGTCCTGCGAGGCGTGTAAAAGTAACAGCTGTAAACACCGTCGGTGTATGAGAAAACACAGGGGCACCATTTACCAGGAGAACTCGGTCGGTTATGAAAATACTTGGGAAATGGTAACTGAAAAGTGGCTCGAGCTACGGAGTCATAGAGAAGAAACAACTATTTGAACTCCGCTATTCAACTTCTTTATAGATCCTAGATTCACGATGACGAAAACGATGATCGTCAACACAGTGGCCTGCTACTTAGACGATCATAATGATTAAAGTGAAACAGTTAACTTGACATCGAAAATGAAGAAATAAGAGATCAGCACAGATCTTCGTTTTTCGATTAAATCGGACGATCATTTATCTCACTGTCATATGCACGCGAATAAAACGAATGACGAGAGTAGGAATGGGAACAGAAAAATAACTGGAAGAGAAATGAATACTCGATAATGATTGGCAACGAGCAACTGAGTCTTCGCGAACGAATTTACGAGGGAAATTTTCTCGCATAGATCCTTTATAGATCGTAAAAGAGCTTTTCTTGTTTCTTCCGAAGATCTCTTTGTGCTTTTCCCTTCTAGTTCCCTCTCGCAGATACGGTGACGATTCCACGAACTGAAACCAAGGACTGCTCAATTTTAATCTACTATTAGATCGGCTTCATTTTCGTTCTCGCTTTAGCGAGCGTTTTGGCTAATTGTTTTGCGACACTCACGGGCGACGATGTTCCTCGAGGGAGTTCCTTGCCAGATATAATTTCATTAGCATGTGTAACGCGTTTCTTACTGATTCGCCCGACGCGTTCTCTAATTGAAATTACACCTCTCCATTCTCGCCGAACTGTGAGACACCCAAGGGATAAGCCGTGATATTAACGAACCACAATAATTACATTTCTTTCACCCGTTAAACACGGCAAGTAATTAGAGATATTAATCGGAAAAGATTTGCGCTTTACGCCTCGGAGATAAGCGTCGATCTATGTAATCGAGAAACAGTCCCTCGAGCAACCGTGTCCGTTTATTTCACGCCTGTTTCCGGATACATACTGGGAAACAGATCTAGAGAACTGTAATATCGCACGCTCGATAGAATTACGGAAACTACACAAGGGAATTATGCCGAGAAAGAATAAAAGCGATCCGTTAAGAAGGAATATCGCATTCTCGCATGCATCGTTTCCTTCTAGCACTCCTGTTCCTATACCGTTTCCGTCGCCAGTCACCTTTTTCGTTGTCCTCACGCGTCCTCCCTCGAGGACGAGTCTGCGGAGGTATAAAATTCAGATTCCCATGGAGACCTTTGAAATTTACGTGCATTACGTGTTTGACCGACGCCCTTTCCCGAATTACGAATTTGCGTTTTGGGAGAACGGAGAATATTCAATGTTACGTTGTCTGGACTTGTCCAAACGATGCGCCATTATACGAGCCCCCCCGTTTGCAGATTCAACAGCGACGAAATCGTTGAGAAAGAATGAACTCTGTACACGGTGGTGAACAAACTCTGGGAAGCGGAAACGAAAACGTTGCCCGGACGGGCGTGTAATTGTTCGAACATGAAAAACGACCTGCGCGAGGGAAGACGAGTATATTTCGGATCCATGATAATCTCGTCTATGGCCGGAGATTGTATGTGACGAGAATTGACCAAGAACAATGAAACGAGAACAAAGGTTGGACAGACAGGAAAGGACGCGGGTGGAAAGATTGCGACGGGAGCTAGACGTTGAAACCTGCGCTTGTACCTGAGAAAAGAGGGCACAAAGGTTTCGCTTCCATCGACAACGTGCTAAGTACGCGGGCCCACGAAACCCTTTTTTATTTTCCACCGTCTGCATTCTCCTTTTTCACCATTCAAAACGAGTCGACCTGTCCCGATTCATCGTTAATGTCATAGGCAATCTGAAAACCTCTTCGCACAATGCGAATCGCGTGAATAATAAACAGCTCATTCATGCGTTTCAATAACTGTTCGTAACATACGCCGTTTTACTAAAATATCAATTGCCACGTATATTTAACTCTTGTAGATCGAAACATTTTACTATGATTTTTTTCTCGCTTTTAATTTCAATCTTCCTACGGCTGACGTTTATCCACACGTTTTTTTGCATTCTATCAAATCTTTAATAGTACAGTGAAAAGTTTAGACCGGAATGTACTGAATCATCGCGCAATCGGCGAGACGGCACCGTTTTCCATGAACAACTCGTTATCACAGCTTCGTTAACGGGAAAAAAACACGATAATCTCGTAAATCGACCGACAGCGTGGAATGGCTCTGTACTCTGTGTACGCTAGCGATATCGCAATCAGGCCTGCCGTTGGTCGATGGGACGGGCACTGGTATGCGCGAACTGTTTCGCCATCGATTGTTTAACAAACAAGAAGCTTCCAAGTAGCAGGTGGCATCGGTTTGCGACAATAGCAAGGCGTACTCCATACGCCGCCGCGTGCGTATGCATTAATAAAGACTGAAAATGGATGAGCAGCGAGCAGCTGGTTACAAATAATGTGGCTGCACCTGAGTTAGCAGGTCCGTTTGTTCGCTAAACGAAGAAGAACCCCGACCATCTCTTCCGGCTACACTTTACCCGGTGTGCTTCTGACAAGTTGTACACGTCCGAGAAAAGAATCTTTTATATACCTGGAAGGCGTGCTCGGGCCGAACAAACTTGGAAAAGGGTTCGCTCCGATACTCACGTCCAGAGATTTAGCTCAGGGAACGAAGTTTAAAGGTATTACAGATTCTCGCGGAAAAAGTTTGAAATTTTCGTTATCTTGTATCTTCTGATTGATCCATAAGAATTTAAGGCATGTACTAAGCAATCTCAACGGAAACTCAAAGAGTAAAATATATTGTTATCGAAGTGTGATAAAACAATTAGAATCCGTGACAGAGTATCATTAGCGTTATCCTCTTTTAGTGATGAAAACAGGCAATACTGGTAACCAGTTATAGTGAAGTTAAAAACTTAAGCACCGATTAAGATAACGGTATTGTTAATTGAGAGCACGCGGCATTAGAAACACGCTCACGTTGCCAACAATTAGACTGGTTCAACATCCAATTAGAACTATCCGACCTTTTATTAACATCGCATTGGACGAGTCTTATCGTTTGATCTGTTTCATCCTCAATCACGTTTCCACGATTTTAAAGCTCACTGCTCTGATTAATGGCGTTTGTCTGATTTCAGGAATTGGTGTTAACCACGGAAGGCGACAGGAGGTTGAGCCCGCACACCAGCAGGATAGTAGTGAGCAATTGTTCGTCCGTGATCCTGATGAACTCTAGCCTATCCTCGATGGTCGGCCTACGATCGGTGGACTTGATCAACGTGGCGAACCTCAGCCTAGTCAGGCAGAGCTTCGAGCTTTCACCGCGGAGTATACGAACGCGGATATCTGTGAGGAACTGCAGCATCGATACGATGCCCAGTTTCGTGTTTCGAGGCGATGTCGAGAATATCAGCTTCGAAAACGTGAGGATCGGCCAATTGAGCGCGTTCTCGTTCGCAAATCTGGTGCACACGGATACGCTCAGGCTCGAGAACTGTCAGATCGAGAACATGGAGGCACAAGCGTTTAAGAAATTCGACGTCGGTTATTTGCACGTGATCGATACTATCTTCGGCGATCAGGTACCCAGTAGGACGATGAACGACATCGAGGTTTATCACAAATTCATGCTGAACGGTGTGAAAATGAGTACAGTGAGAAGTGAAGCATTCATCGTGAGAAGTCCACGAACGGTGGCGATACAAAATTGTATTATAGAGAGTTTAGAAGGCGAGGCTTTCGACGTGACCGCACGGGGTACGGTGATCATACAGAACAACACCTTCGGTAGCCTCTCCATGGGTGCTTTCCTCGGTATAAGAGCGGACCCCGAAGCGAGGACACCTGCCTCCCTACCGACCACCCTGCACGACCTTATCTTTAAGAATAACAGCGTAGCTAACTTTGAAGAGGGCTCGATGATGTTCGACCGAAGTAGCTTTCGCCTCGAACTCGACAACCTTTTGGTGGACCAACCGTGCGACTGTCAGATGTTGCCCGTATGGAAGAACAACGTTCTCAATTACACGAACGTTTACACAAGGTTCTACACCAGACAGAACGCCGTGTTACCGCCTACGTTATCGCCGCAAGAAACGATCAACGAGACCCCCGAGACGTTCCTCTGCTCCGACGGCGAGGTGGACGGTGTGCCGACGAGCTTCGTGGAATACGAGACGCGTCACTGCTCGCTCAGGGGATCCATACTAGTCTTGGTCCTGATCATCGCGGGCCTGCTCGTGTTACTGATACTCCTCATCTGCCTGATCATCTGGTGCTGCAGAAGGCGTCGACGGAACAGCCGGAAGAAATGGATCAGTGTTCCGACGAACGCGCCTGACGTCGTGTCGAAAAAGAACGGCGTGATCGGCAGAGAAGCGGCTGCGTCTGCGGCGCCGGTCGACAGCCGGATAACGATGGTCGTGCCTGATGGCAGGCTCTACAGGGAGACAGAATTTCACGTGATCGTCGAGAAGGCCGAACCGTTGACCACCGAGTTGTAACGAGAACCTCCATGCGGCTCGACGACTAGGACCGTCGTAGCTCGAGTCGAAGAAGAATTCGAGTGGTCCGACACCTCGAGCCGCTTTCGCGTGTACAAGCTGTGAACCAGACACGCGCGCGCGGGGACACACGATGATGTACAACGTGCCCAGGCCGGTGTTGTTCAACGATCTGTGACGAACATATGCACCGGTTTCGCAGTGCGAAGACAGTTGTGGGGCAGCTTGTGTTACGCGTACGGTGATTGTGAACCGTTAATTATTCGAACTGTTGCGGAACTCTTTTAACGAAGAGCGCGATTATTTGTCAGGATGTTCCTCGACATTTTTCAAATGCTACTCTATTAAGACCACGTCGCGTTTTGAAAACGAATAGGACGAGAGACTCGATGATCCCGAACCTCTATTGTTTTCAATTTAATCGACTATCCTTCTAGTACAAGGCAGTTCGTAAGCTTCCATTTAACATATCACGAACGAGCACCGATTATCAAGCGCGTTTCACCTGCGGCTCCTATGTATATGTATCTGCCTGTCCACTTTTTTTTTCCTCTCTAGTGAAGGCAGTCACGTTCCTGTCTCAATAATTAAGAGTTTTCCCGAGGTTACGTGCATGGATAATCGGTGAACGTTGTTAGTTAAGTTTATCGCGTGTAACTAGCTTCCAAAAGAGGGCCAGTGTCGTTCGCGGAGATTAGATCAGAACTTCGTCGAGACGATACACGATGCGAGAATAGAAGAGGAGAAGTCGAGGAGGAAAGAGAAATAGCAGAGAGACTGGTTGATGATGAGGAAAGCGCAAGAATAGAACGAACAAGAAAAACAACAACGGGAAATCTTGAATTAGCTGAGTCGTGTAAGATATGCGATTGGATGATCGACCTTTCGCACTTTGTCGCTTTAAAGTTTATCGATCGATAAGACGTTCGACGTTGTACGTAAGTATGTACCATCCTGTGTCGATGATCGTTTCGAGCAACGTTCGTCGCTGAGGAAGAACCGGTAAAATATCTGGCGACGATCGTGTACTCGTTCGGAAAGCAGTGCCATTTCCTAAACTATACAGACGTCAGTTTGTACGCGCTCCGTTTAAGGAACCTCGGAGCAAGAAAAATCGAATAGAAGATAGCTACTTCGCAACTTCAAAACGGAACGAGCCGAAGGGAGTGTTCCGCTCCTTCGATCACCCCGAATCATTGTACAACCGTTCAATTCTAATTACGTTTCTCATTGTGCTTTTAATACAATAAAAGATATTACCTGACATTCCCTGACAATACGAGGTAACGAATCGATACGAATATAGTATATCTAAAATTACAATATGTACAATTAAGCGAGAAGTAATGATAGCAGCTTGCTGCGAGAAGATCAAAATCTTTGTATCTAGGTTTCTCCGTACAACACGAAACAAGAGTTATGATCGCGTTTCAAGCTAACGAACGAGCATGACTCGATTCTTCTAAAGTGTTCAAATCGTTCGCGGCTATGCGGAATCGTTAATTTATGTATTATTTCACTGTGACGTGTTTATTTATGAGCTTTGGACTTTGCCAATAAATTGTTGTTATTGTTATCATCTCGATCGGTATCTAATTTTGATAAATGCACTCGGAGGACGCTTCATGAACGTAATCGATTTGCCACAAGGGGAAACGGGGTCTACGTTCGCAAATTCGGTTGCTAATCTCGAAACGAGCGGCCCTGAATAATGCGCGCATACGTTCAGCGTAAAACCGCGAGCGATCGCCTGTACTTAAGCATCGTTCCACGCGTTGGACCCGCTGCTTTCGGTGATTAATAGACCCGACACAATCCGTCCTTCTCTCTCCGTTTCATCGAGTTAAGCATAGAAGAATTAAGCTTGACTCGTCGTACGAAGCGGCAAGGTGAAAGGAAATTCCGTTCGGAATACGATAAACGAGGAAACGGCTCGTACGTTCGACGAGCAAAAGAGGTGATTCGTTCGACGTTACACCAGCTGGGCAAAGTATTTTGCGTTTTAAAGTACAATCTGAATGCTATAAGCGACGCTTTGTCTCTCGCGTGTGCAGCTACCTCGCGCACGTGTGAGCCATGCATTATTGATGCTACCGCCGCTGCCACCACCGCCGCTCGCTCTCTATAACGACTCTCACGGCATTGTTTCTTTTTATCCCCGAGCAAGAGGCAGCAGAAATTGGTCCTCGGAGTTTCTCGAGATTATTCTGCGACCTTCCCTTTCGTTACCTTGAGCTTCGTCAAGGTATGCCCAATTAGAGACCACGCGAGAAAAGGGACGCGAGCCGCGAACGCGAACCCGGGGCCGGACTCGTTTTCACGAGCTCCTACGTGTATTGTTCACGCGTACAGACCCAAGCGCACGCGTGTTTATACGCGCGAGTACAATTATCGTATTTTGACGATGAATTAAATTTTTTCGAGGACGGTTTAGTTGTAATTATCGTGAGACTGTGATATAACGACAGCCGATTGTATAATTTGTTTTACATTGAAAATGTCGTATCATTAACGAAGAGATAATAAAGATGAAGCTAATGTCTGATAGAAGAGAAACAACAGATGCCTAATCGATATTCCCAAAATATATGCTTCGTACCCTTCCTGATCTACCATCTCTTTTTCTTCTCCCTACGTGTATTTTAATACCGATATGAATACACGCGCTGCAAAAGTTTGTATACACCGTCAGCAGATCGATCACGAGCTATTTCCGGTTGCTCGCATAAAGATGCAAAAAAACGCAAAGGCTACCGCGGCTATTTAATTGCGTGCGACTTTTCCGAAGTTGTATAATGTGCCGATTCATAAATCGTCTCTGAATACCACGCTTATAATCGGAGATGACTCATTTTTAATGAATCTCTCGATCAATTGCCGTTTAACCAGTTCTACTTGAGCACTTTGAAGGAACTAACGTTAAAAGAGCAGCACAGCGTAATGAGTTAGAAATATCTGTTTATCATGTCAGTATTGAAGAATTTCGCTGAATCTTGTCGAACTGGTTTTCATTATCGTCGTTCTACGATATCAGCAATATTGCTACTCCGTTAACCGCAGTTCTTTATCAACAAATGGTAGAATAAAGTACTGTGGCTTGGCACTTACCTGAATGGAAGAACTCCGTCGAGAGCCTGGGACACCGTCGGGGGCGAAGCCAGAGCGAATCCTCGTCCAAGTAGTGTCGAGTGCACGGAGAAGATCCTCTTCGCGGTTTCTTGCATCAGCTCCAAATCCTCTTCTACTTCTTCATCTGGAACGCATAGTCGAGTTTGTTAGATGCAATCGCGAGATACAAGTAAATATTTTAAACTACGTTTTAACCATTTGAGAATATAAAGTAAAGAATGCTTTGGGCTTTTAAATGGTAGTGGTCGTAATAAGAATTAATATGAATTTCAATAATAATGCTTACTAGACACAGGTGGTAATGCAAGATTTCTCTTCATGAGACTCGCAGCACAGGCTCCGCCAAGGAACGATAGTTCAATTTCAAGATTTTTCAAACCATTGCCTGATGTTATCCAATCGTATCCAATAACTAAGCACTTAAACCCATACGTGATTGCTCTATCATTTCTCATGTAATCCGAGGCTGTTTCTAATGAGAATATAACTTCATGCCCTATAATATTATATCAATTAGTTAATTATATTGTATACTCGATTCCAATTATTTAAAAATATGAAATAATTTACCTGGTAATAAAATCGCATTTTGAGGCCATTGATTTTGTACATTGCTTAGTTTGTGCAACACAGGCAAGGGTACATTATCTGCTGTCGAGTTCATTCTAAAAAATACGAACAAATAAGTAACGTTGATACTAATCTTTCTAGCACTACAAGATTTTAAAATAGTAAATTGATTTCATTTACCCAGAAAATGAAATTATATTTGGAATGTACAATTGCAAGTAATCTTCTGGCTGAGCTGTGCCACAGTCTGGGGTAAATTCGATAGTTAACCACTTGACCGTTTTCGGAAAAGTGACTTTATAGCGAGAAACTGTAGCCGGTTTATAAGGATGTTCACTTTCCAACCAGGTATAGTGATGACTAGTAGTTATGGGCGCAGGGGCATGAGACTGAACTTCGCTGTCTTGAGACACTTCAGACGATCCCGATAGTAAATTAAGGGCCGCAACATGAGGTAACATCTCTTGTATCAGTGTAAGAACTTGAACTCCACTCTGTGAGAAAAAGAAAAATTAAAATGGATGTACAAAACGATTAGAAAAAATATCCAATAAAGTGCTTACCCGCGGATCCGATGTTGCGAGGAGAATAATATGTGCCATAACCAATGGTAGAAGAGTTGTCACGAACGTTGCATTCCCGAGAACCTCAGCAGCTACCACTTCTTCTGCCCTTTCTCTCGCTAAGGCAAAGATCTCGTTCGATCTCTGAATAATTGTAGCTGTCATTGCAAGGGCACATTTTCTTGCTTGTACCTCGGCCATCGCTTTACTCGTATGTTGGCCATCGGAGTCTTGAGGATTCGAATAATAGAGAATATGTGGTATTTGGCCTCTGGTCTGCGTTGTGCCTATTAAAGTGAAATGTATTATCATTCTTGAACAAACAAAGCAAATGTTCTTTATGAAAGATTTTATACCGTTGAAACTTAGGGAACAAGCCGTAAAGGTGAACGTAGTTCCGTCAGGTCCTTTAACCACGCTCAGCCCACCATCACCATTACTTGTGCGTCCGCCCCGATTTCTCAGTCTAATAGCGTACTTAACATTTTCCTTAATGGGTACGGGCTTATCAAATTTTAATTCTACTATGTCGTTAACACAATCATCTGGCCCGAAAGAGCCGCGTGTAAAATCCAAACTACTCCAACGTTGAGTATGTGATGGATCATTACCTGTATTATTTTGCTAGAAAATACACAATACGATAAAGTATGCAAAAGCTATGTTAGAAAATATCTTAGTTATATGATAATATTTACATCGTCAAGGAGTTCTAATTCGTAATCGTACATTCCAACACCGCCATAGATTCCGACTCCAGCAATAACAATGCCAGGTCTGTCAACCGAGAAACAAATTGCATCTGGAGAACCGTTACCGGTGTTCCACGATCTTGTTTGATTTACGCGAGTAAATCTCGAAGGTGTAGTGTACATAAGCCTGCCACAAGCGGCTTGAAGTTCATCCTCGTTCCCGCTGGATTGCACCGCCAGCTCGGCAATCACTCGCGCTAACAAATAACAACAATGAAGTACCAACTCTGGCAGTGATTGAGCCTTCTTTCTACAAAGGTTTTTCTTCACAGGTACTAAAATCAAATCCAACAGTCTATCGAGTACGTCGCGAAATGACCAATTCAGAGTTTCTTTGCCAGAACTTTCCACTTGAGACTTGTAACTGATCTGTTCGACCAAAATTGGGTACTGATGACTTTCAGTCGAGTTAATCATCAATAAGCCCGTATTGTCGGATGGACTTAGCTGCTGTTTTATGCTATCGCTACTGTCCATGACGTTGTTTAAAATGGGGAAAGTACATCGGAGACGAATGGTAGGATTGCATAAGGCAGCTAAAACAGCCGATAACAATCGATCTTTCGTAGACCTCCCTTGTTCCTACAAAAGATAGTTCAGTTCGTAAGTACTAATAAACATTTTTTCAAATTAGAAAATCATAGGATATACATACTCTGTCAATTTCTGACAATAACTCGCACAGGCACGTCCACTTCAAATATGCTGTTGGGTAAAATGCATGATAACACGCTACAAATGTTTTGTGACATTCGTCTAATATACTGTTTGTCATCTTATTATTTAAAGTATCAGGACCTAAAAAAAGTAATACGTGTATTTAAAAATATATAGCACAGTTTTTAATATATAATATAATAAAAGACAACTTACTTTTACTTGATCGTAGTTTTCCTTTGCTTTTTGCATTTAATGGCACGGTATCTGATAAAATTTGATGTAGTAATGCGCGTACTTCTCCTATACACTCTGCTAACCGAACTGATTCAGCTGGAGTCTTCTTCCCCACTGTAATTCATTAACGTTATGTTAAAATAAAATTTTACACTAGACACAAATTCAGTACTCACCTTGATTAGGATATATTTCATTAGTGTAAGTTCTAAGTAATCGCAAGCTAGCTTTACTAATATAAACTAAACGCTCCACTTCAAGTAAAGTGTGAGAGGAAATGGTGTGAACCATGGTATCATTCAGTGCTGCCTTTAATGTATTCCAACTCCATTGGAAAAGAGATATCAATGATTGAAAGCATTCCTAAAAAATTGTTATTGTTTATATTACGTAATTAATTTAACATCAGAAAATTGAATACGTACTTTAGTCACAGTTCTACTGAAATCCCTTTTTAATACGTAAACTGGTTCAACTTGATCTCTCTGCCTATTAGGAGTCTGATTCTCTGGTGTAACAATTCGATATAATAATTGTGGAATTTGTCCAGCGTTTACATCTGTCCCGTTATTAGATCTCTTCGATGATTTAAAATAAAACATAACTCTGAAAAAATAAGTTAAAATTGAGTACATCCTAAATTTATGTTATCTAAAGAAAAAGAATTTTTTACTAACTGATCTTCAGCTGTGACCATTCCTTGGCCACCAGACCCACAGTCGCTAGACGGTCCGTTCACTTTGGCCCATGCTACATACCACCGATTTGCTTGTAGTGAAATTGGTTCGTAAAATAAGATAGAATACTTTTGTCTAGGCCCACATTCATACGGTATTTCTTCTGACTCTGCTAAAAGTTCGCCGTCGTTCTCTTGATCCCCACCATCCATCCCAATATCAAAAAGCTGTAGTAAAAGGTATTCAGTATTATTTTTACTGTATATAACAATCTATAGACTAGATCTCAAGATTTATAGTATACATCAATTATAATTACTTTTATTTTGGCCGTGTATTCTCCTCGGCCTCCAAATAAACCATATCCTCCTAGCAAAATATCAGTATCGGGCATAAATCTAATAGCTTCAATTGAATGTGCAGAATAGCCCCAACCACCACCATGACCTATAGATATATAAAAGTTATGTAACAAAGGGTAGGATATGTAACTATGAAGTAATTTTTTTGATGCTTTGGTACATACTTTCAAATCTGTTAACCGTGACGAAGTCTTCACGACTGTACACTTTCCCGTGTGTCGATTGATTACACTCATTCTCTTCTACTATAGACAGATTTTCATCTTGTGCTTGTGTAAGGGTATCCAAACAAGCTAATAAATGCATTGCAGCTTGAGAACGCGTTACAAAACAGTTAGATATTACTGGTAATGCTAAACCTGGACTCAGAATTGATGCTTCCAAGCCAGGAATTGTTCTAGCTTCCGTTGATATTATATTATATAAGCTTATTTCATTATTCATAGGATTAAAAGTCCAAATCACATTATATAAAGGATCTAAACACGCAGCACAATTACTGAAGTCGACTTGATCCGGTTCGCTGTAACTATTACAAGTACCATCTCGTTTGCTTATAACTAGACATTTGAAGGAATTCGCATGATCGGTTTGATGTGGAATTAAAACTGAAACAATTTTGTTATAATTAGGTATACTCTTGTTAATGCGAAAGTGATGGAGCGATGATTCAGAAAGAAGGACATACTTATGCAATTTTTATTTGCCATAACAGTACTCCTTGTTAAACTAATAGAATTCATTTCATCGATTTTCACATAAGTTTGATCTCCACTCGCGCCAACCCATGTTGCCCGTCTACGCCACTGAGGACCAATGTTCGGTATTGCATTTGGAAAGCAATGCCGCGGTTGCGTTCTATCAGAGCGACGACTCGCATGCGGAGCGGCATTCGCTGATTCATTTTGTCCATTCCACCAATTTATACCCAATTGCCCTTTCTATATGTAATAAATACGTATAAAAAGATCATTATATGAACATTTCGGATGATAATTACATGTCGACAACGGTACACACTTGATAAGCTCCAAATGTAAACACTTCGCCTTTTGATGTAAGTACAACAGTGTGATTGCTCCCAGCAGCAACTTGCGTTGCGATTCCTGGCAATTTGACATGAACTGGTCCGCCATGTGCTATCAGATCACCCACGCCCAACTGACCGTAAATGTTGCTTCCAAACGTATAAACCTCTCCATTTTGTAAAAGTACCACTGTGCATAACACAATACAATTAAAATAAGAAAATCAATATTGCAAACAGAAGATATATTTGTGCTAATATTACCTGTATGATGTAAACCACAGGATACCTGCACCACTGGACTTTCACTAGGTATAGGAACTCTAGCTGGTGGTATACTAGCAATTCTTGCAGCATCTCCTCGTTCAATGTCACTTCCGCCAATGCCTTCTTCATTTATTAAATTAGTACCTAATCCTATAGCCATTTTACCAGCAGCTTTCTGCATCACGCTTGGCCCAGCTATATTACATAAAATAAATTACAATATTAACAAATGCACATCATTTTATTCTTAAAATCTATTACATGTAGACATGTACCTAGCCTTTGATTATTCGGACCTTTCATCTTCATCGCATACTTTGCAGTACTAGGGCCTGCTTTTATTCGCTGCTTTTGCTTTATTTCTCCCAAGCGTCTTTGCAAATATTCCCGAAAATTTGAACTTGATCTACCTACGATACAATAAGAACAATGTACAATGAAATCATTAGTAAGTGCATTCAATAATCAAGCGAAATGTTACCATTAGCACAACTCTTCCTCGCACAAGTACGGCAGCATCCGCATTCCGCACATCCACTATCTCCTTCACCGCACCCGCATTCCCTGAAAGCGCGTATTTTAATATCTCATAAATATATACCATGTATAATATTAATCTTATATCAGTACGTACTGGCCTGGATTTCGGTCTGGGCGCATGCCGCTTAAACAGGCTATACTGTAACCAGTGCATTCACGACATACTGTGCAAACCATGCAAACTCGATGTCTCCACTGGTGCAACCCTGGAGGGCACATTCCCTTTGCTTCTTCCCAATCTTCCATAGATTCCATACCATCTAAAACGCACAGAATAATTATATATTCTTTTCATAGGATTAATAAATGAAAGTATTTATATAAAATAACCTTCTTCGGTTATTAGAAGTTCTTCTTCTGCTGGACCCATCTCCACAGCAACGATAGACATATCTTTATTTACAGTGATACTGTGAACTGTTGTAAAATCTCTACCACATTGGCCTTTATTATTAATTCCGAACGTGTACAAATGTCCTTTATTAGTTAATGCAGCCGCGTGAGCTTTTCCTAGCGATACATGAACAACGCAAACGTCTCTGAGATCAATAACCAGTCCCGAAACAGGATCGCTATGCAATGTATCTTTCCCAAACATCAACAAAGAACCCTCTTTTGTAACTAAAGCTGTTGATCCGTTATTACAAGCAGCATCCACAACGCACTGCCCTTCCACTTTTGTTATCTTTTTTGGTTTCACCGGTTTAGGTTGACGCCTGACTTTATCTAAAGCACAAATATAAAAATTTAATGGAAATTGAAGAATAATTTTAATTTTAAATTGCAAATAAGCACTATATTTACTGTTATCACCATCCTCTCCACGCCTAGCAGTACCAGCAAACAAAACCGATCCATCTTCCAGAACCATTACAACATGTTGACCATCATGACCAGCTGCGAAATTTACAACTCTCGGCCCTTTCCCAAGCGATAGCTCTATCCATCTATTAGGCCTCGTATTATTTTTCATACCAAGCGCAGTTCCTTTTCCACTGTACAGAACCTTTAATATACGATGTAATTTACTTTACATTATAAGATGACTTTTAACATATCATAAAATCAGTGTGTTACTTACTTTCCCAGACACTGTTTTTAATAAAGCAAATTCTTTCCCTGCTGTAACTGTCATAATTTCATCATCACAGCCTGAATTTAATGTATGAACCGCTTGCTCTTCATCGAAAGTAGCATATCCAAAAACATCTACACATTTCCTTGCCAATTTCAATGGCAATTCTGATGCAACTGTTACTGGATTACTTAATGTATTTATTGTTCTGACTACAAAACCATCCTGTTACAATCAATAATGTAAAATTTATGTTTGCTTTTGATAATCATAAATTTAAAAAAAATAATCAATCAAGATAAACTAACATCTTTTCCAGCTGTAATCATTCCTAAACATTCCCCATCAGAGAACATAACAGAGGATGACCAATCACGACCTTCTAAAACAGCGATTTCCGTAACTGTAAGAGTCTCTGCATCGATAATTAATAGCTCGCTTCGTTTCCTGGGTGTATACTTAAAATACAGTGTATTCTGCAAAACAAAGAAAGTCGCATGATCATTTTCTTCTTATAATCTTATAGTTTCAGAAAATTAGTGTTTAATTAAACTAACATTTGCGTAACCGAGCCAGCCCGTTTCTGTTGGATAGAAATCTGCTTTTTGAATATACATATGACCCCAAATAGTTCCACCATGACCACTACCAATCTTTAATAATCCTCTACTTGTATGCAGATACAGGTACTTTCCATCACTCACGAAACTTCGCCCATTTAGCACTACATTATTTATCTCATTTGGTAACTTAAGCGTAGAAGTATAAATCTTAGTACATTCAGGAACTCCATATGTAATCCAATCTGGCCGTGCAAGTTTCCCAAGTAAAACAGCTTGCACACTTCTTTGCAAAGATGTTAAAACACATGGCATCTATAAAAATATCAATTATAAATTCAAGTCTTATAGAGATGAACTATACAATCATTAATTATCTAAAATGTTCACTTGTATATTTTGAACTGCTAACGCTCTGGGACACATGAGTAAAGCTGCTATCGCTGCTAACAAACGGCCAGTATCACCTCGGACAACCACAAGACTCAATAAACAAGCACAAGCAACTGCAGTCAAATGACTACCATCATTGGCAGCAGCTGATTCCGGGCCATGTGAAGTGGCAAGATCCAATAATAAATCAAAAAGTGGATCTATAAAGGAAAATAAAAATATTCAGTATTTACTTCCAAAGGACAGTCTTATCTAATCAAAATATAATACCAATAACATCATCTGGTTCAGATTTCAGGCCTTCAGGAAGTTGTCCTTGTAATATATCCAATAAAGCTGATAATGCTTTTGTACATAAAACAGGTTCAATTGTTCTACTTTCTCTCATCAATGTGAAAACACTTCTTAAACCGATACCTACAATCTGCAGATACTCCAATTCATATAGTATTTCTTCTATCATTGTAATCCTCAATTTTAATACTTACCTTTGGTAAGCTCTGTATAGTTGATATCCTATCCTCATCATCACTTTCTGAATCAATAGTTTCACTATGTTCTTGTGGTAGTGGAGAATTGCAGTTCAATGCTCTAGAAATCTCACTTGTTGTTCTGGCATACTTGTCCAAAATGACACTCCTAACACTAGCAAATACAGCGAATGCAGAAGCATTGCAGGATAATTCTACTTCTAGTGCAGTATTATAATTTGCATCACCATTCAAATCAATCTGTAAATATTGAAGGTTTGAGTTACACTAGAACATGAAGGAAACAATTCAAATATTTAGATGCCAGTTAAGAATACCTTTTTCTTATCCCTTTTGCACACAGCTTTATTTTTCTTGCATTTTTTCCATTCCTCCTTATTTCTAAAAATTGAATCATATACTATAATATATATTTTCATTATTATTCATTCATACTTGTTATTATATCTAAATTCTTTGAGAATGATACTCTTCATTTATACATTGTTGAAAGTAATGTGGAAGAATAAATATTTTTAGTTACCAATGCAATCAGAACTATTGATCATAACTTATTTTGAAAGTTAATTTTTCATGTCATGTGAGAATTGTCAAATTGACAATCTGCTGTACAAATTAATGAACAAACAAATTTTAGGTTACTTCAAACGTTTTGGAAATTATTGTACAGATTAACAGTCCGGTGACATTGGATAACAAATACAGTAAAAATAGCATTGTAATTAATCGAAATTTTATTGTAAACATTGTATTTGATAAATGACAAATGAAGTCACCATCAAAAATGTCAAGTAAACAAAACATGAAGGAGGTTATACACATTTCGCACCTCTGTGCGTCGGCAATACTTTTGAAAAGGTCGTAAAAACATTTCACGTAATTCTCCGGCTCGGGCAGCAACCGTTCGTGGTCCCCAGACACCATGTTGTGCACAAAATTTTCAACGAATGAATCACCAATTCATTTTCGTAATACTATTGATCGTTGTCATTCTCTCGCCTTCCCCATGTGATCGCATTGCACCGTATTCATACAACTATTCCCAAAACGATTCCCGACCCGCTTGGCATACACACATGCAAAAATTTAATTTTCATCATTATAATATGCAGAATAAGTGCAAGCCAGTCGATTCAAATATTGGCGAACACAGACACAATGATACATAAAATAGAATAGAATAATTCGTGTAACAGTATTTTAACTCGATTGCTATGCAAACGAAGCCCAACTGAAATTCGAATTATAAATTCTTCGATACGAAGAAAAATTCGTATATTTCAAGTTTCACTCCACAGATTTTGATGAAACACGACTCAAATTAAAACCAGAGATCTCAGATATGTTATTTTTATATAGGAATACATTTGATGAATAGAAACACATTTGAAACATCAACAGCATTCAATATTGTTACAAAGTCGCAACAATATTGAAATATTGCGATCTTGGAATACAATATTGTGGTAATATTGCTGCAATATTGAGTGCTGTTTATGATAATGCTAATTTCAAACGCTCTCGTATTCAATTTGAATTGCTTTTCCAATATTTTGATTTCAAATTTTCGAAGCGTATGAAAAAATATTTCGTCGATCATGATAATTCGTTGTCTTCTATCACACAATGACACAATTCGTTATAATGTAGAAAACTACTATAGAAGTATATGTTTCTAAATCACAGAAGGACAAAGGCAGAATGGATGATTATCAAACTAAAGAGATTTACAAATTACAAATATAGAAATTAATTTTGATGATACATTTTCAGTNTAGCACATATGTACATATAAAATTATAAATATATTGCGTACTTTAATGCAATAACATATATGTTATCGTCACTATCTAAAATCTGCGTTATTAAATTCCTCAATACATATTTTTATGTAACTCATTTTGACATATCTTATCACTTATAAGATAAACGCATATGAAACGAATATTATAAAAATATATTGAACAAAAAGCGTTATCTGATTTATGATTCAGATCACCTCGAGTAACAGATATTGTGATTATTGTGAATGTAGTTGGCTGTTGGCTCCCGTCCTCAATCCGGCATCTCTAGGTATAGTACGTATACGCGTATCCTGTTGTGCTGAGATTACTGTTTTGAAGATTATCGTGAACGTAACCTCAAAGAGGCAGTTTAAAGAGCACAATCGGAAATTAGATTTCCGTCTTATTGCTAAAAACGTAGTTCAAATATGATTTTATGAATTGTTCTCGGGACTGCGTAATTCGGAATAGTTGATAAAGAATTGGAGAATTTTGATAGAAACATAACCAAATGACAGCTCTCAAGCACGTATGTAACGTTCATATAAACTTAATTGGCAATTCGTTTGAAATATTGTTATTAGATTTTTCGTTTTCAGATAAAATATCTTAAAAAACACCTAATTATAATCGTAAGCTGATTTTTGCTAGTTACGTATCTCTGTCGAAATTGCATTTATCTATGTATGTATTTAAAAAGAATGACAAGAACTGAATAGCAACGTGAAATGAAATTTTAGTTAACTGTAATGTAGAAACGTAATACTTGTGATATATTTTTAATATGTACTCTAGCAAAGCTTAGTATCTACAGAAAAGTTTAAACCTTGTAGGTATATGTGTATTATGGCAAATGATATGCATTTAATATCATCATTTCTGACGAGTTGTTAATTTCAGTTATATTACATACAGTCTCATAAATGATACACATTTCACTTGATTGTGTAAATATCACTTAAGAAATACATGTGGTAGAATATCCTTAGAAGTATCATCATAAACAAGTGGGAATGGGCAATTGTCTGTGTAAAGATACACCAGAAGAACTCACAGCATATAATGAACAAAATCATGCAGAGACTGAAAATACTATATTACCAGAATCAGATATAGAGAATGTTGCAACTGGTCACATGAGTTCTACATCTTTTAAATTTCCAACTTCTGCAAAGATAGATAAACTAGTACTTGAAACTCTTGGGATCATCGGTTCCCTTGTTGATAAGTGAGTACCATAAGTGATTAATATTATTGAGATAAATGGACCAAATATTTTCATTAATTTATGTGTAATATTCAGTGAGCAAGAACCACCACCTGCAATGTTAAAATTGCATGCGATTGCTGATAAAGAAGATGGATGGATACAAGTTGTTAGTTCAATGGTTAATGTTATTCCTATGCATAATCCATTAGGCCCTTCAGTTATAACTCTTTTATTAGATGATTGTCCATTACCATCAAAGGTATCTAGACTCACACCTCTAGATGTTATTCAATCAATGAATGGATTGCCTTATATATTTTCACATTTTAGGAATCTGTCTTACGGTTATCACATATGTTTCAATTATCTCAAAAATGTGGAAACATACAAATCAGTGCAACTCAACAACGTAACATCTGTGTAGTTCTGGGTTGTATAGCGGAAAAATTAGCTGGTCCAAGCAGTATTGCTATATTATCGGATGCAACTTTGGATTATCTCGTTTCAAATCTTGTAAGTATTCACAGATGTTCTGTCTTGAAAACTTTAGTTATATTTTATACATGATAAACCTTATTTATAATTTTAGAGAGAAGATATTGATCCTTATGTGGTACTGTATTCATTAATAGCCTTGGAAAAATTTGCGCAAACAAGTGAGGATTAATTGCCGTATCTTATCAAAATATATGTACATTCTAATAAAACAATTTGCTATGTTCTTTAGGTGAAAACAAAGTCACTATTAAAAAGCGTTTAATGTTGGAAAAACCAAATCGGTTATTGGAATTAGAGAAATGGGCATCGGAAACTCATTATGTACGCCGGCAAGTAGGCTTCTGCGCGCGGTGGTGTTTAGATAACTTGTGTATGTGTTAAACTAATTAATCATATTAAAAATAATAGTATGTACTAATAGAGAAGAGTAATGCTCATTTTCATTATTCTAGTTTTGATGGAAGGTAGGAAATATTCTCACGACTCAGTTGATATGACTGGTATTAATGTAATGTTAAATACAAAAGATGTAAGTGAGTACCTGAAAATATCACCTAACGGCTTGGAAGTAAGTTTTAAAAGATATGACGTGTATAGTATGTAGCACGTAGATATACTTGAAAAGTACGCATATTTATTTATTTCTAGGCCCGATGTGATGCATACTCATTTGAAAGCGTAAGATGCACATTTCAAGTAGATTCAGGAATCTGGTATTATGAAACACTAGTTATAACAACGGGTGTGATGCAAATTGGATGGGCTACAAAGGATAGTACGTTTTTAAATCATGTAAGTGTTCATCTTCTTATCGTAATATCATTATAAAGTCTTATTAAGCATTTTATCTTTATTTTAGGAAGGCTATGGTATAGGCGATGATGAATTTTCTTTGGCCTACGATGGTTGTCGTAGATTAATCTGGTATAATGCAAAGAGTGAAAAATATCACGAGAAACCGTGTTGGAAAGCCGGTGATATTTTGGGTTGTTTACTAGACTTGAACAAATTAGAAATAGTATTCTCTATAAATGGTGTACCACTTAAACCATGTGTTCAAGTTTTCAAGACAGTGCGGTGCGTATTTATTTAATTTTATACGCCCAATGTTGAAATTGCTTACCGCATAACAATCAAGATTTTAAACGTTATGTTTCAGGTCTGGATTTTTTGCTGCAGCAAGTTTTATGTCATTTCAGCAATGTCTCTTTAATTTTGGAAATGTACCTTTTAAGTATCCACCCACTGATCGTGAATATAAAAAATTTAATGATTACGCTACTTTGAGGCCTGAAGATAAAGTTGTGCTTCCCAGACATATATATCTAGACCAACTGAGAAAACTTAGCGTTAGAGAAGATTCATGTACATTGTGTTTTGACCAAAGAGCTTCAGTCAGATTGATACCATGCAATCACAGGTAATGTACAATGAAATATCATTAATCTAAGAAATAATACAAAGTGGAGCTTAAAAAGTAATTGTTCTTTCAGAGGATTCTGCCTAACGTGTACGAATCAGCTGGTAGAGTGTCCAATGTGTAGAGCTACAATCGAAGAAGTAGCTCCTGATAATACATGACATCACATAGGTGTACCAGCATTTCTTAATACTCTTCCACTACCTTTTTCATATTACACGATTCTCAGGAACTGTCGTGAAGTAATCACAATTGCAACATGTCATGTATGCTATGTATTGAATATGGTTATAATACTTCGTGCATTTCTTTCCTTACGATACAGTATTTTAAATCAAGAGAAGGACTACAAATTAGTTACAAAAAGCAACGTCGCACTTAAATGTAACAAATCTTTACGGTGCATCGATGTAGGTACATGATGCAAATCATGTTGTTGGAAATTTAAATTACAGAAAAATGTCAAAAATTACATCTGCGGGCTGTGCAAATTACTTTCCCTAGGTTTTGTCTAAGTATATCATTCGTTTAATTAGTATTGTAAATATTTAAATCTGAAGAATAGGAAGATAAAATTATTTTTTTTTTACAGCGTATACACATTGGGAAAGAAATCTAATATTTTCAATTTGTATCTAAATTAATGTATATCATACATTTCCAACGTGATATTTGTGACCGGTTCACAAATATGCAGACACTATTTTGTCCATGAACTTGAAGTTCTTCTCTCTTAAACTATGAAAGTCTGTGTTACCTGCATTTGTCAATACTGACAAGCAAGTAATTAAATTTGCGCTATAATATACGGTTGATTTTAGGAAGCTGTAAAATATTAATATCTTGTAGTATACATATACTGAAAAATATATATATATACATAAGCTCACATTATATTCTTGTGAAAACAAAATGTTATCATATGTACAACTTTGCAAAACTTTTCTACAAATCTTGTTAATTTCATTCACAACCTTCCCTCTTATTTAAGAATACCAATTTATGTATGAAACATTTAAGTTTTACCCTTAATTTTTATTGCTTGTATGTATGTGCTAAAGGTAGCAGTGTTCACCATTTTGTAATAATTTAATAATAGTATAGGATTTCGACCTGTACATATATTCTTAATTGACAAGGTTATAATTATTTAAAAAGGGTTTCCAGTTTGGAAGAATAAATTAAGAAGTCTACGCAAATGTGTCTCACGAATAATTTTACACATGCATTACTATATACTAAACGTAATAACATTTTACTTAGGATTTATGATTTATAATTAGCATAAAACCTAATCACTTACCGATTTTATTCTATTCCATCTTCATATTATCTTGAACAATGAATCCTTCAACTTCGACTTCTTTGCTGCACATTTATTTGCAAACATTGAGATGTTCATGTTCTTATTCTGTTTTTTAAAATTATTTTACGTAACAAATCACACTTAGACAAGTTCAATACACATTTATCTCCTTGTGATCGATCGATTGCCACACGGTTATTTTAAAATTGAATCGGGAAAGTATCGATATAAATTACGAATAAATATTGAAAAACGATCTCTCGATGCGAGAGAGCTAAGTTAAACGCGTGGCCACGAGAGAGCGCCGCAGTTTGTTACAACATGGCGGGTGAGTGAGTGCCTGTGGATCGAACGAAGCTGCCCGAAAACACGAGGGATTTGCATCTAACCCGTGGTGTTTGTGGGTTTCAGATATATCCTGCATCCAGAAAGAAGAGATGGAGAACTCTGACGAGGGTGAGTACTGACAATGAAATACAATGTTGATGGTTGTAAATGTGCGCGGAAAGAGCCAACCGTTCGGCACGGTGGCCCCACCATCGAAGCATGCCAGTGTCTAGCGTGTGTAGCGGTGGCGTGGTCGCTAAACTCATGCCCCGTTTAACTACGCACTGTCTTGCATAATTATTACCTCGGATAGGTTTAGCGATCTTATCAATGGCAACGATAGTGTACTTTTGACACGTTGTATGGGTGTCACGTTGCAGTTCGACTGCAAACCGTATGTCACGCCGTGATTCTCACATGCGCGACCAAGACATGAGAGTGCCTCGATGGCGTTTTATCGGTTAGGGGGCATCACAAAACGTGCCGCGCTGTGTTTACCTCGACCGAAGGCATAAAAAAAAAAAGGAAAAAGAGAACGCGGTCTCTGCGTCTTTGTATACTGTTTTCGTCTTTTTTTTATTATTTTCACGTACCAATCGAAATATCATACATTTTTCGCTGTTTCCCGATTGCGTTTACTACGATCGACACGCTCAATTTTCGACCGGATACGTTGCGACAGCGTCATCGTACATTATTTTACTAATGCATCATAGAATTAATTCTTATCGTACTTTACATAGACGTGAAGTACTCGAAACAATTATACTTTTTACACGTTACTAATTTCCAAGTTTTTATTTACTCGAGTAGTTACATTTAACATGTTATAGATAATACAGTCGTTTTTATAAAAGGGCTATTAGAATATCAATATTGATACATGCTATAGTTCTGTGGTTTTAAAACGTAGCATTAGGGTATGTACATAGGAGAATACTGTTAATTTTAATTGAGTATAACGAAAAAGCTGATTAAATGTCACGGAGCGAAAGTACATATTCTGGATAGCTGACGTAAACAAAGTTAATGCGCGGTTATTCTCCTATCGGGGTTACTGATCTTCCGATTTCAATGTATTTACTAGTGCCATCTGTCGTACATAAACTTGAATTAAATCATTATATACCTATCGATAGAGCTTTGTAGTCTTACATTTCAAAATTTGCATATATCCAATTAAAATATGTAATGGGGACAGAATTGTACTGTCACGTTTGATAGAAAATTGATTTCCTAGTGATACATGTATCAAATGCCGATTTCATATATATTTGTAGAGCCCATAAATCGTTGTCACTGAATCCTATGGACCGATGAAGATAGAGCTCTAGGTATATAGAACACTTCTCTGTCTTTTTCTCTTCCCATTCCCATAGATTTGAACGCTATCACCAACTGTTGCTACTAATTAAGTTGTAGTTGGCTCTAATTGTCTTTATCAAACAGTCTAGATGATTGTAAAAATTCCAAGAATGAGCGGATACAAAAATATTGTCGCTTGCGCTCCTCCATCCTAAAGAGAGTCTCAATGTTTCACACGAGTTCTTTCGATTTCTCACTCGTTTGTTTTTAGTCATAAACTCTGTGACATCCGGTTTGTTGGTTCATAAAATGATTCAGCATCATTTAATAACGATTCATCGAAATCGTGAGAAATCACTAAATGAGGTCCTCGTACAGGTACATTTAACGTGAGTAATCCTTTACGATTCACGACTCGTGTATCCTATTTGATGACGTGCAACAGTAGCACGTGACCACTGCTTCCTGATTCATACTTCCGATTGAAGGCGTTCGCTGGATGATGAACTTGGTGCACGTAGAGCTTTTTTTACGGCTTTCGTGCACTGCTCGTTTCGTTTCGGCCAATATCGTCCGAGTCACGCTTCCTCGAAAACAGTTTTTCCCCGAACGGGCAAGTCGACGGATTAAAGTTCAAGCTATTCCGAAACAGGGATAATAACAGTTCTTGGAATCGGACGAAAGGAACGATGAATTTTTCGATGTCTGGCATATGGCGGTGACTACACAGGGTTTACGAGCGATAGTAATCAGTCGTGATTATGCAAATGATTTGGTGACTGGCTGTGACAGATTGTGGGTCGGACGTTTCTCGCGTATCAATGAATCCTCTTGGTTCTTGCAACAGTATCTCGTGGCATTCAGAATTTTTTAATGGCTGCGACACATCTTTCAGCTTTTTTGTTTCAATTTAGCTGTAGTCGTTGGTTTGGCGACAGATGTGAATGATTGATTCATGAATTGCCAGAGAAAGAGTATAGATGACCGTCCGGTGATCAAACGTAGACGTGACCGAATTGACCAGGCTCCAACAGGTATACCTACGCGAGTTCAGCAAGTCCTTGCGAAACATATGTCGCGAGGAAAGGGAGCAGTCTCTTTAACTCACGCGTACGTTGCTCCCTATTTTGTGTTTGCGTTTATCTGCAAAGTGATCTTCTCTCTTTTCTTTCCTTTCTTTCCTCTACCGGTCGATGTCGACATTGGACGAAGAGGATGGGAGACAGATAAAAAAAGGGAACGAAAGAGGCATAGGACGAGTATAGGTAGATATACACAGAAACTTTAATTTCTTGGCATTGTGAGGAGTTCCTTGCCCTTTCAGCCTTTTCAGTTCGGTGGTCTGTTTTTGATAGGAGGCCACGTCGTCTAGACACACCGGGGGTTGCCCGGCTTTTATAATCGCAACGAAATGCAACCCTCCGTGCACGTCGCAAAAATACCGGTTTTTTCCTGTTCTCTCCCTGTCTCTCTCTTTTTCCATCGACGTTGAATTTTTCTATCCCCTTAGCCCCGTCACCCCTTCGTTCTGTAGCGATGTGCCGCCGCGTTACATTAAAATGATTTATTCTCTTTATTAAATTCGCATTCGAGGCTAAGAGAGCACATTCTTGACTGGCGTGAATCGAATCTGGAGACCGGATACGACAAACGATATGTGTGCTTGCTTTGGTGGCGGCGACCTGCCTATGCCTAAAGCGTACAGGACTGGCTTCCCTTTTCTCGACCGGGAGAGGGTAGTCAAAGGTCACGGAGGGGCATAAATTTTCGGGCTTTTTAACCGAAGACACTATATCTCGTTAGCGATCGTAACCGTATTTACTTTTTTCACTGGTATCGTGGATCGGTTAGCTTGTTTAATCGTCAAGTAGACGGAAACGGTTTCCTGTCCGTTTATCTACCGTTATAGATTGACGGAAGATAATTCGTCGAATCAAATCCTGCCCAAAATACACTTTAAGGATAGTTTAAGACATTTTTACCAACCGATAAGCTTGACTAGAATAAGTGGGGCATGGTAATACATATTTAAATTATTCTTTTTATAACTGCGACCAAATATCGTGTCTAATATTCTCTTTTACATCGAAACTTAAATATAAATTCGATGAAGGGTGGGGAACGTCAGGTACATCGATTCGACTCTAATTACTCCGAAAGAATTTGACACGGCGATCTAATCATCTCGAAAGTTCGTTATCTGCCGATTGGCCGTAGAGACGCGAGGCTGTGCAAGTTCACCTCCTGTTCCGGCGGACGTGACGACCATGAGGAACCGAACCGAGCCGAGTACTGGCGCCGCCTGTCGTCAGAACGGACGCTCGAATGGCGGTCCGATTATTACATGACATTCCTCGAATACCATCCAGGCCTTCCTCGTCTCCGCCTGCGAGCTGTGGCTCTTTCCTCTCTGTCCTTCGTCCCAGCTTCTCGAGTTCTTTCTCTGTCTTGCACGTCCGCATACGCGGCGACGACGCCACGCTGCTCCGATCCGTTCTTCCTCGCGCTTCTCGCGTTCTAGAGAACAGAAAGTAGACCTCCTAAGAGGCTAAAGGCTTCGGGCTCCAAAATAGGCCCGCGATACGAATGTTAAAAGCACCCTCTTCTGTCTTCCTTCATAGACCGCTGCTTCCACCCACGCTGCCTTTTCCCCTCAGCCTCCGAACCTCTCTCTCTCTCTATTTCTCTCTCGCTTACTTGCTTTCCGAGGCGTCTTCGCCTCCTTTGCATCCTGCCATCACGGAGGAAGCGCGGTCGAGAATCAGCCGCACCCTGTCGAAAGGGAAACACGCCCGGACCGCGATATTCCGGCCCGATGATTACGTAAAAAAAAAATCGTGGAGGGCGGACAGATTGAATTCGCTTCGATCGGATCTTCCATTCGTAAATATCCTTTTCTAGCTACTTCCTACACTCTCTCTTTTCTAATTTCGAAGATACGCTCCTGTGTT